TCATATAGAATATATTCATATATACTATATATTCATGTTTAGTTTTAGAGCCTGATAGGGTTGCCAATAACATGGACAAAACATATCATGTCCCTTTAGTAGAAAAAATAAATGCAAGTTTGAAAGGAATTATATTTTGTTTGATTAAACAATTGAAATTACGAACCTATTTTGGTAAGTGGGGTTGAGTCCCCAAAGCCAGAATGTAAAAGATAAAAGACATTAAGATGTTTTATATTGTTGAGGTTAAAGCTTATCTTATTTCACTGTATGTTTTGAAATATTATATGTGCAGAAATTACCGCATAAAGCTATGAACATTATTTCTTATACGTAGTAAAAAACCAGCTAGAAATGAGTGCAGTTTTATATTATATTGCTGAAGCTAAAGCATACTTGTTTTGTCTTAAGTCTTCAAAATACTTTAGCAGATATAGAAAAGAGTGATTATAACTAAAAACTTTATTGATTGTAGCGGCTATATTTCAGAGACTTTGATAAGGTTAAAGTGAAATGAAAAGAATTATTTAACTGTAAGAAAATTTAATGTTTGATTTATAGAAATGATGGGCAATATTATATTTGGCAAAGTTAGTATAATAATACCTACTTGATTTCTTTATCATAATTTGTGAGAGAGGGAGACAAAAGGGTAACACAACACATTTTAAGTTATACTACCACATAATCCTCCCACGTTTAGTTTAGAGAACTCCAGATAGGGAGACTTTAAGAGTCACCCTACTTCCTTTATAGGATCTTCTGGAATTCTAACCCTGTGCGGTGCCAGGGTTGGTTATAGTTTGCAGTTGAGTTAATTGTAGTTTAAAATAGGACTATTTGCACAAGCATAGAACTGGAAAATATTAGAACCAAACTAAAAATCAAATATCTAATATGTCCCAAGGTTATAAATTTATCACATGGAATTGTAGAGGGCTGAACAACCCTATTAAAATTAGAAGAGTTACTAATCTTATGAATAAAGAACGCCCAAATATCCTATGTCTGCAGGAGACACATCAAAAAAGCAGTAGACCTTACATTTTGAAAACTAAATGGTTTGAACAACTCTATCAGGCCCCAGGAATGTCAAGTTCTAGAGGAGTTGCAATTTTGATCTCCAAAAACACTCCTTTTCACGTCCAACAAACTGAGATTGATAAAAGAGGAAGATACATCTTTATCAGCGGTAATCTGGACAGCTCACCTTTGACAATAGCATCCATATATGCACCTAACATTGATCAACAAATTTTTATTAAAGAAACAGAGAAACTACAAAATTTTTAAAAAGGAGGGGTGTTAATAGGGTCAGATTTAAATATGATAATAAACCCAAACATAGATAAAACCCATAAATTAAATAGGAAAGAAAAAGCCATTGTGTTTAAAAACTACAGGACTGGAGAAAATTTTACAAATGTTTAATGTGCATGATACATGGTGCCATTTTAATATGGGTAGTAGAGATTTTACATATTTTTCAGCTGTTCATGTAATTTACACCAGAATAGATTTTATTTTAGCATTTGCAATATGCTGACTCAAACCAGGCTAGTGGATATAGGGTCAAGAACACTCTCAGACCATGCGTGGGTGACCTGTCATTTTTCAAACATAGAAAACAATGGAAAAGGCCCGACATGGTCTATGAACAGGTGCTATTACATCAGACAACACTATGCAAGCAAATATATAAAGACATCCAGGAATATTTTACATTCAATGCCTTTAAGGTAGTTATGAGAGGAAAATTATTGTCAATGGCTTCCTCCTACAAAAAAAATAGACAAAGAATAATTACTGAATTGCAAGAAAAAATAAAATATTTGGAAAAACGACACATGAAATTTGGAGGGAAAAATTTATAAAAAATTATTAGCAGAATGAAAAAATTAGAACTAATGGAGACCTCATTGATACAAAAAAATTGTTATACTTGAAACAAAAATATATTACTAAGACATCTAAATCTATAAAACTGTTAAAATATAGGGTAAACCAAAAATCAACTTCACTACAAGTTCCAGCTCTATGTACTAACCAGGGAGACACTATCTCATCTTCAAAGGAAATCACTAAAGCATTTTATAACTATTATAAAAAATATATCAATCAGGGAACACAAATCCTAATTTTATTCAATATTTAAGTAACATCAAATTTGGCTCTAAATTAACAAAGGGGCATAGGGAATATATGGAAAAAATTATTGATGAGGAAGAAATAAAAGAAGCATTCGGAAAAATTAAGAAAAACAAATCGGTGGGAAGAGATGGGATACCAATAGAGTTTTATCACAAATTCCAATCCTTACTAGTACAACCACTTTTGCAGACTTGTAATTTTGTAATGTCTGATGGCAAAATGCCACAAACCTGGTCGGAAGCCAAAGTAATAGTTTTACTAAAACCTGGCAAAGATAAATATAAAGTCGAATCCTATCGTCCAATTTCTATTTTGAATCGTGACTTCAAAATATTTTTCTCCATTCTTGTTGCTAGATTAAATAAAATAATTTTTAATTATATCCACCCATATCAGGCAGGATTTATACCAGGAAGATCAATTATGGACAGTATATGGAAATCCCTTAACCTTATAAATTACAGTAAACAAAATAAAATCAGTTCTGCTATTTTAGCATTAGATGCTGAAAAAGCATTCGATAAGGTAGAGATACCTTATCTGAAAGAAGTATTAAAAATTATGAATTTTGGCCCCCAATTTAGGAGATCAATTGATACTATCTATAGAAACCCCTCAGCTCAAATTCAAATAAATAACTATAGATCAGAAAATCTTTATTTAACAAACGGAATGAGACAGGGGTGTCCCCTCTCCCCACTTTTGTTTGCGATTTCATTAGAACCATTAGCTTGGACAGTTAGACAGGACCCAAAAATCTCAGGAATTCAAATAAATACAGCTATATATAAATGAGGACTCTTCGCGGACGACAAAGTTACTTAGCTTACCACACCAAAAAAAGTTACAATTTTAAATGAAAAAAATAAATTTATTTCACGAAATTTCAGGTTTTACAATTAATTTCCATAAAACAGAGCTGTATGTTATTCATATTCCGGAGGAAGAAAAAATATATATTTCTGAACACTTTCAATATGTGAAGCACATATTGAAATGGCTTCTAGAAATGTCCTTTACTATCCTTTACTATCTCCCCATAAACATTCGTACCTTGGCCCTGCTCCTACACCTGACAGACACTGGCCTGTCTGGTGTGTGTGTGTGGGATTGTATTTAAAGGCATCGGGGAGGCTGGGCCAGCAGCAGTGCTAAGGCAATCCTTCTGAGCAAACCTCCCTGGTGGCTGTAAGCATCCCACCTCCTCTCCCACACCTGACAGGCAGCTGCCTGTCCAGTGTAGGAGGGGAAGTGGGGAGTATTAGAAGCCATGGTGGAGGTGGGGCTACACCTGACAGACAACCGCCTGTTAGGTGTAGGAGGTGGGGGGAGTGTGTTGGAAGCCACCCACCTCCTCTCCTACACCTGTCAGGCAGCTGCCTGTCCCGTGTAGGAGGGGGAGGGGTATTAGAAGCCACTGTGGAGGTGGGGGGAGTGTGTTGGAAGCCATCAGAGAGGCTGGGCCAGCATCTTTGCTTCACCTCACAGGTGGTTCTTGGCCACTCCTGATTTCCTCAACTGCCATTAGCTCTCTGCAGTCCCCTGTAATTATTGGGTGTTTTTTTTTTACCTCAGAACACTGAGCTCAGCAGCTCACCAATCAGAGAGCAGGGGTGCAGAGAGACAGCTGCCTGGTAGCCACATAGGAATCAATGGGGGGAGCACATTGTCCCCCTTTTGACCCACTTAGGGGTTGAATTTCCCTTCTTAGCAAGTACCTACGCCAGGGTGAGTGCTCTCCCCGAATTTGGTGTCTCTAGGTCCAGCGGTTTGGCCTCCTCGTTGATTTTACCGTCAGGGGACTTTCTTTTATATATATATAGATGTAAGGATGCAATCAACAATAGTTCTGAAGAAAAGAAGCTGCTTTTTTGTTTCCGCTGATGGCTACATGTGTTGCAACAGGCCTAATCTTAGAAATGACATTTCCTCCAGCATTGTAGAGGAGGGGGAATGCCTCTTCTGTGTAGGCACTATACTTTTCTCCCCTTTTCTTTGCAATAGCTACTGTAAGCAGACGTTGCAGTAGCTGCTAAGATGGCACACCCACAAAAAGGTCAACAATCCTGTGCAGTACTGAGGGGAAGCAAGCAGACTTGACACCCTTGCTAGCTGGTGTTGCTAGAGGAAGTATGCAGGTTGCTGGGTCAACAGTGTGCAGATGCATGGCAGCTACCAACTAGCTAGCAGTACCCAGGTGCACGGTGCACCTGCCAGGTGGTGGCTGAATAGAAGCCTTCAAGGCTTTGCCTCACGAGCCTGCCGGTATGTTGAGTCACGTCCCCGTCGTCGTACCCCCAGTAGGAGCAGTTATTTCCCGTGAACGACTTCACTATTTGCCAACTTTTTCTTTCTTAAGGAGCAGTTAATTCCATTAAAATGCTGCTGAATTAATGGAGAGGGCATTTTAAGCGATTAAAATTCAGACATGCCGAGAGAGCCACTGAGAAAACGTCCCCACGCTATTCAAACACGCTGGCTACGCCCAACGTCACGGGGGAGTCTGTCGCCATAGAAACCATCAAGCCGTCTGCGCCGCCAGACAAAGTCGATGAACAGAAAGACGAAAAGCATGATGTTCTTCAGTACGCAAGCGCCGTGAGAGTCACGCCCAGGTCTCTTTCGGCTCAGCCTCGTCTCGAGGATGACGTCAAAAAAGATAGTAGCTAACCAAATTCCGCCCCATTCACTTAGATGCGGAAGCAGAAGAACCAGATGACGCGAGACAGCAACGTTTCCGGGAAGCTTAACTTGCCGCATCTGATTGGTTGGGAGCCGAGGGACGGGACTGCACAGTTGTCTAGTAAAAAAAGATAATAGGAAGTGCTTAGGTCGACGTACCGCGCGTGCGTGGGTCGCCGCTTGCGCCGAGGAACGAGTAGGTTGGGCTGGGCTCTGCTACGCTGGAGGCGGAGCTGAGGGAGAAGAACGGAGATGGACGAGCTCCAGACTGCTGAGGAGGTATAACGGTTCCCGAGGGGGGCATTTCCCCTCTCCCCCAGCGCTGGCGGGTGGCTGGGGCGAGAAGGGGCAGCGGCCGTGTCCGACCCTTTGTTGTCAGCAGGCGTTGCTATGGGAGAGCGCCGCAGAGAGGAGAAGCCGGTCCCCGCCCCTTTCCCTTTGTTGCGCCGCGGGTCCCATAATGGGCGCTGACATTCATTCTTCTCCCGCAGTCTTGGGAGTCGCGGCTAGTGAGTCCCGTTGGCCATAACCAACTTCTCCAGTAGCGCTACTTCTTCCATAATACTACAGTGATATGTTAAAGAGATGCCACTGCTTGTTGCAATATGTTGCCGTACTGGGAAGTTACCAGTGCAAAATAATTTTCCCTGTGATAAACCCTGACCTGGATAACCTCAGAATAGCCCGATCTGGGGAGATGTCGGAAGCTAAGCACGGTCGGTCCTGGTCAGTATTTGGATGGGATGCCAGCAAGGAAGTCCAGGGTCTCTACACAGAGGCAGGCAATGGCAAACTACCTCTTGCCTTGGAAACCCTGTGGGGTCACCATAAGTTGGCTGCGACTTGATGGCAAAACAAGAACCCTGTAATAAGGGGAAATAGTAAGAATGGGAACATTGCTTTAAAGCATGGGTCCCCAACCTTTTTGAGCCTGTGGGTGCAACTACATAAATTGGCTGCCGCTCAAGGTGGAGCCAACTATGAAATGTTAGAGTGAAGTTATATATAACTTTTATAGTAACTTTTCAGCATTTCAGAAAGAAGCTTTGTTTAATAGGATGCTTTTTCATCCCCACAGCCAATCAGAAGCCCTACTGGGCAAAAGCCCCACCTGGCCCTGCCCACTTTCTCAAATCACTTGGTGGACACCAGGAAAGATGTTGGTGGGTGCTGTGATGCCCGTGGGCACCACATATGGGACCCCTGCTTTAAACTAGTGATTCATAGTAATAAGTGATTGTGCCCTGTAAGGGTAATAAAAACAGCCGTGCCACTCATCTCTAAAAAAGAAACTTCTGCATATCCAGATATGTAGGAAAAATATAATTAAATGACGACAACTGAAAGTGTTCCAGAAAGAATGGGGTTTGTTTATTCATTTTTCAGATTTTTACCCCGCCCTCCCAGACAAAGCTGTCTCAGGGCGGCTCACATAAAAACAGATAATTATATTAAAACATAGTTGTGGTTAAAACAAATATAAAATCATAATTAAGTGCTAGAGGTTCTTAATAATCATACAGCAGTAGCAGCCAGTGTAGAACGTTCTCCGCTCGCAGTCAGCTCTCAGTGTTTGTTGGATATCCCTGTAAGGTTTCACTGTCCTTTAAGGCTGTTGATGGCAGTTTTTAGGGTCCAGGGCCCTTTTAACCAACCGATAAACCACATTTATAAATGTGGGAGGGGGAAAGGGGGGGGAGATTGGATTGGTCCGATGCCTAGGGGTTTAGAGGGAGGATAATGGGGAAGGGGTTGTGAAAGGGAGCAGCAATGGTCTTTCTTGTGTTCCACAAGTGCATATATGTGACTGTCATCCCCATCCTATTTGAATTTGGATCTTTAATCTTTCTTTGGGGTTTGCTTCTACATAAGTGTTTAACAGTGCAATCTTAAGGAAAGTTCCAACCTTCTAAATCTATTGAAGTCAATTCTCTGTTTAAGATTCCACTGTAGATTTGCGGCTTTTACTGGGTACTGTTGTGATGAAAGGGCCTTGTACAGTACTGTGATCAGTAAAGCAGAAACAAGGTGTTAAGTTTTTAAAAACAGGTAATCGGATATCTGATTAATGTTTAGAACATTATAGCTTTCAGAAATAACTTTTTTGTCTGTTGTTCAGGGTGCAAGTAGTACATTTGATTGATATTTTATTTCTGATTTTTTTAAAGACTGCATTTATTGTGGATGAAGTTAGCAACATCATAAAAGAGGTAGGAAAATATTTCAGTTGCATATCACCAAGAATGTAATCTCACATGTAGCATTAAATCATCTGTACTTTCCTCGGCAGTAGTTCTTTAAAAAGACAAAAAATGTTGCTTCTAAACTGATCAGTTGTACGGAGTGCCCATTACACTGCATTGTAATTTTGAAACCACTTGTTATAGGAGTAACAGCTGTTAGTATAAGTATGTTACCAGTCTTCTAACAGATACTGCAATACTTAAAATATTTGTTATATATGAGTTCTCTAATGGAATTCTGTACGGATCTGTGCTATTGCCCTGGAAGCAGTGAGAGTTGCATGTTCTGTGAGAATATGCATGTTTATTCCTTATGTTTATACACCTTCCTCCAAGGAGCTGAGATAGACTTACCTAGATGGACGTGGTCTATCTTCCCAACACACACACACACACACACACAACTCTATGAGATAGGTTAGGCTAAGGAGGAGTCAGGGGCAGAGGTGAGGTTAGGAGCCCTAGCAGGAGTTTAGTGTCCAGCCCAAGGCCTCTTTAACTATAATACTATACACTGGTTCTCTCTCTCCAAAAAGGTCCAGGTTCAGCTAAGGCTACTGGGGAAGGGGGGGGGGAGAGCAGGAGGTCTGTGGTAGCATAGCTGCTTTGCATGCAGGATGGTGTAGGTTCAGTCCCCACCATCTCAAGGCAAAAGGATTAGGTGATGTGATGTCAGAGACTTCCACCTGAGACCTTGGAGAGAGCTGCTGCCACTCACAGTAGACAATACTGACCTTGATAGAGCCAGGGTTCGCGTGTACGGGGTTCTTAATTCAAAGTATAAAGCTGAAGAAAGTAAATGGCGCTCCAAGCTAATGGATTTTTAAATTATTATTTCAAGCCTTCACTCTGGGTTGAATCTGACTCCCCATTTCTTTCATTAAATTCCAGGTAAGGTTTGTGATGTGGCTTGAGATCAATGTGGTTAAGTGAGCTTAAGGCAACTGGATTCTAGTGAAGTGTTGCCAGGAATCTGGTATCTTGTTTACTGAACTTCTGTTGTGGCAACCTCTAGGACAGGGAGTGAAGGTTATAAGAACCTTAACTAGCAGGCACTGAATAGGATAAAGGACAAAATATAAAGTTAATTCCGTCAATGACGCAAAGTGAGTACACTGATAGCTTATTTGTGCTAAATGCCCTTTATGGTTACCATCTTAAAATGCTTACCAGGCTCTGGTATGTTTAGATCCTGTATTGTTTGTGCAGTTTGAATTTGTAGCGAAACCAAAATGGGCACTTGTGTTTGATAAGCAGCATCTTCATTTACCAGTCCACAGGTACGTATACACACGAAGCTGCCTTATGCTGAGGCTTTATCTGCAAAGTGTGGAATCCATTGCTGAGACCATAGGATAGGATGGGGTGGCCAGATGCATTTCCTTAGGTGGAGGTTAATTTGGGCGGTTTCATGTTGGGTCTTCATTTCCAAAGGTTTTTCCCCCACTGCTGTTGTGGCTTCAGAATTAAAGAACTCATGTGTCTTTCTGGTGATACAGTACATTGAACTTCACTGGCACAATTTTTATGAACCACAGAGGTGCTGCTCTGGCTCCTACTATTTAAATTTGCCAGGATAAATTTAAGACAGTGAAATTCCTAGGTAATTTTCTCCTTTCTGCTTGAATCTTTGAAGGGAGCGGAGGGAGAAACTATGGGGAGTGACATAACAGGTCAGGTGCATCTCAGATCAGTTGGAGAAAGCCTGTTCACTTTAATGTTGATTTTTAAAAGTGCTGGTGAGTAGGAGAGTGGATGAATAATACTGTTGGCTTCTTATTTGTAGGCTATAGAAGGCACAATAGGCGGCAATGCGTATTTGCACAGCAAAGTGAACCAGTGGACCACCAGTGTTGTAGAACAAATTCTAAGTCAGCTAACAAAGCTGGGGAAACCTTTTAAATATGTCGGTAAGTTAATATATTTCTGCATTGAGTGTTTTATTAATTTGATAGTAACAGTTTCAAATAAACAGAACATTCAAGTTCAAATGAAAAGTAGAAGAGGAGAGATGGGCAACAATTAATTACTTGTTTTATGTCATCTTCAAAGGACATGGAAGTGAAAGATTACCATAGCTATCTCTTTGAAGCTATAATAGATGTAACTGTGCAGCTCATGGAGTGGACACATACCCTTTCTAACAAGCAAATATGTCTTCTGTAATTTACAGTTACATGTGTCATTATGCAAAAGAATGGTGCTGGACTTCACACAGCAAGCTCTTGTTTCTGGGACAACTCTGCTGATGGTGTGTGACTTTTAATACTTTCTCAATTTCTTATTGAAATGTTTCACATGATATTTGCGCAAGCTAGCAAACATTCTCAGCAAAAATCCGATGTTAACAGATTCCTTTCAGTACTTATTGTAGGGGTAAGACATGCTTGTTAGTACAAGTAACGTCTTTCTTTATTACCCCGATAGTATCATAGGGGTTTCTGTGGAACAATTATAGCGTGCCTGAATATGGGGGCATTGCAGATCAGATAAGCATCTCAGCTGAGTGCCCTTCTGAAGGTGTCTACATAATACAAAATTACCCTGGACCCGAACTTAGTGACAGTGTTGCAACCAGGAGCCATCCTAATTTTGAATTTTCTTTCTTGTAGGAACCTGCACAGTGAGATGGGAGAACAAGACTATGTACTGTATTGTCAGTGCCTTTGGACTTGCAATATGATTGCCTTGGAATTCTTCAGCCTGTCTCATCCCTTCCATTTCATAGTTCACTGAAACTGTGAATTCACTGAACAACTTTGTGTTTAAAGAACTTTTCCTTCCTGTGAGAGAATGGGAGAGCAAGTTTTATGTGGTTACACAAACACATCATTCCTTACCCATTATCGATGCACTCTTTGTCTTAACTCTTTAAGGACTCTTTCTCAAGGTGCTGAAACCTGAAACCTGCTGCAGTTCTTCAGCTTTACTCCACCTAGTTTGAAGATTTAACTTTTCACAGTTTTTGTTATTAAATTATTGAAGTTCTGAACATGTGCCTGTACAGTCATTTTGAAAGGGAACAAATTCAAGAAGTGGGGCTTAACATTAAGTGCCTTAATAGCTTGGTCCTAATAGACTAATTCTCAGGTGGTGTTCTTGGCATAGAAACGATTTAGAATGTGAAGCTTCACGTGAAGTCTTCATACATAAAGCAGCCATGTAAGTAGCTGACAGTATCCACTTACTGGGACTGATAGTGGTTTTTGTAGATAAGCCACTCTTTCCATGTAAAAAAGCTAGGGTTTGGGTAGGGGTTCGTGTATTAGAAGGTTCCTGGGTAGTAGTGCTGATTGCTGACTGTAGTAGATAATGAGGTTAGGTTACGGTATGAAATAGCTTTCGGGGAGAAAATTTCCGGCTATAATTACTTATAACTAATTTGTCTGAAGCATTTTGTGTTGATGGTCTTTAGGTCTTTTTCACAAGGCTCTTGGGAGCCCTGTTGTATATTAGGTATGGTATCGGTATCCTGGCATTTTTCTTAAAAATAAGAAACGGCCTTACCCCCAAAGTTCTTCAAGTTAGGGTTGCCAGGTCTGTGCTTCTCAATAATTCTGATGCCATTCCATGCCTTGAACAGAATTCAGAGAACGGGGGCATTTTATTTCTACTTGAGTTATTGTATCAAATACACAATATTCATTGCTGCTTACATAGGGTTGCTAGGTCCCCCCTGGCCACCAGTAGGGGGTAGGACTGCCAGATCCAGGTTGGGAAAGTCCTAGAGATGTGAGGATGGAAACTGGGGAGTATTGGGTCCTCAGTGGGGTACAATGCCATCAAGACTGCCCTTCAAACTATCCATTTCCTGCCGAGGAATTGATATCTATAGTTGGGATGAGCTGTAATTTCAGGGGATCCCAAGTCCCACCTGGAGGCTAGCACCCCTACTTCAAGTACATACATTCAAGGGCTTCTGTGTGCCTAGGATCAGCCTGTGTGTTAAATTCTGTAGTGCTACACACTGTGTTCTGAAGTTGCATTTTCCCCTCAAGGGACTAAGGTCCCAGTAGGCAGCAGAACACTGTAATTTCTAGCACACTGTTGGAAGGCACATGATTGCAACTTTGAAGCTTTTGAATTCTGTAACGAGAGGAAGGGTGATATAAAGTTTTCCAAGAACCTACTGTATCAGATGGCCCTCAAGCAACATTCTAGGGCATCATTAAGTCTGTGCCAATAGTCTTTGCCAGTCCTTTGACGGAGATGCTAGGGAAAGGGACAGCACCTAGGCCTCGTGTTCTCTTGGCTTTCTAATTGAAAATGACTTCTAATAGGAACATTTTAGCAATGCTATATTTTAATGTTAAATAAGTTTTCTGTTAAGAATGATAGGTATGGCACATCCTACAATGGCTAGGCATGTGGATCATAAGATGATTTGGCACTGAGCAACAGCTTCAGGCAGCACATAATTGTTCTATAACAGACCTATATGGTATATATGATATAAGACTGGCCTAGGCTACCTTTTGCATCTTATATTGCCCTCTACTGGAGACAAGCTAAAACTCTTCTTATAGGAGGTACTAAAACAAGATTACTTGACTAGAGCAGTGTTTCCCAACCTGTGGGTCGGGACCCAAAAGTAGGTCTTGAAGTCTCTGGAAGTGGATTGTAGGTCCTCCTTCCCTAACGGCCACTTTGCCCTTTCCATTGCTCTCTCGTATTTTGGAAACCAAGATCTGACCCTGGAAACAGTATCTTCCATTTCATATATTGGTATTTTTTTCTTCACTGCATATACATGTTGATCAAGCAGAACATGAGTTTTGTAGAATCTTACGGGCAATTGGAGTAATGGAGAAGGAGAGGGTGGTCAAAGGGTGGCATGTAACCTCCATATGTAGAGCTTACGTATGTCAGAATGCCACTTGCCTGGGGTTCATACTGGGGGCAGCTGTGCCCTTTGTGCGATGTTTGTTGGTTTCTCAGAAACATCTGGTTAGCCACTGTAAAAATTGAATGCTAAACTAGATGGGTGCTGAGGTCATAGTTTACCTAGGGTGCAAAAAAAACCTTGGGTCAGCTTTGGATGGGTCACCATACCAAGAAAATTTGGACTGGGAACTGCTGGACTAGAGTTCCAAGACAGCGAGCAATGAACCAGACAAATGCTTACTATGAAAGGTTCCTAAGGTTATTGAGAAAGCAATCCCACCCCCATCCTCAAAAGGGCAGCATCCCATAGCCACTTTAGAAACTATGGAATGAAAAAATCCCACTAGCTGTGTGCAAGCCATTAAGTGCATAGACATGAAGCCCAGCCTTTGTTTAGATGACATTCAATAATTTTCTTCGAAGGCTTACTTTTGGAACCTGCTACCCCCTCCCAGCTTCCCACATCTGCACCTGAGTTCCAACCTTTCCACGTTCTGTTTCAGACTTAAATCAGCAACTTAAATCTACAAGAACAAAAGGCCAATTTAAAGTAATGATTTAAATCACAAGTTTTCATTATCTTGATGCTTAAGTAAAAGTGCATACTGATCAGTTGTTGTTTTAAAAAGTCATTTCAAACTTTGTATATAGAACAGTGGTGGCGAACCTATGGCACGGGTGCCAGAGGTGGCACTCAGAGCCCTCTCTGTGGGCATGGGTGACATTGCCCCAGCAAGGCCCAGGCTATCATTAAAGTGTCGAATCCTCTGCCAAATAATTTTTAAGTAGATGAAAGCATTTGGGATTGCTTTCCTTGCTTTGTTTGGATCATCTTATGTTAATGTACGAGTTTTTTTTTTCTAAAGTACAACCTTGGTATTCAGGTTAAATTGCCGTGTTGGCACTTTGTGATAAATAAGTGGGTTTTGGGTCGCAGTTTGGACACTCGGTCTCTAAAAGGTTCGCCATTACTGATATAGAACCTCAGGGGGTATACCATAACTTCCTTAAATATTTAACTTTGTATTGTCAAAAATATGCAACATTGCTAATTCACTGACCATTTATTTTGTTGACCATTTATTGCTTATTACTCCAAATATTACTCTCTTACAAGCTGCAGTCATGGAATTTCATAGACAGGCACTTGTTAGAAACAAGGCTAAAAGATGGTGCTTCTTTCTAGTATTCCTTTGTTTTAGTGCCACTTTTCCTTTGCTATTGAGCTTCCCTGCCCTAATACACCACAACCAGAAGCAAAGGTTGGGTTACTAGTGAAAGCAACATCTGTGATTACTTGCCAGTCATGAGCCCCAGTATCAAGCCATGATATAAGTACTGTGCTGTATGGCAACAGTTAATGTTTTACTAGCAAAATAAACCTTTTCTTAAATTCATAATAGGTTTAAAAGTTCACTTTTAAGAGATTATTATTGCATTAAATTCAGATTTCATTTTAAACCAATTTTTTAAAAATCCAATTTTCTTAAAAATTCAATTTATTGCTATTTAAAAATATTACTATCCAGTGTGCTCTGGATCCACAGACGTACATCCCTTGGACTACTACTACTCATGCTCAGACATCACTGAAGAAAACTAGAAAAATAATTGCTGTCTACTAAAAGTTTAATCTCTTCAAAGACCAATTATTAAAATCATTTCTCCACCTACTTCCATTTTTTAATCCTCAGAACCAGAAGCAAAATATAAAATAAAACAAAAAAGATCCATTGGCTGCTAACTATTGAGTTTGCCATTAACAATGTCATTTTTCCTCAGAAAATGCACAATCCCAGCAAAACTACTCTAAAATGCCTTTTACAAATGTTTGTCATCTGATCTGATAAACATCTCCATCTATGGATAGTGGATTAACATATATCTAATTATGAAACAGACCCCAGAGTGTGGATCAAAAAATTCACATGATGTGGCCAGGGACAGACAAGGATGATTTTTGTACAAAACCGAGGAAAGCTCCAGGTTCGAAGAAAAAGCTGAAATCTAAAAATATTACAATAGGGGAGGTAAAACCTCCAACATAATAGCAGCAACATTTGTAGCTTTAAAAGATGACCATCCACTGAGAGCTCATGACACTCTGTTCCAAGAGTTTGGTGGCCATTCTAGGCAACAACAACATTGTCAATATTGTCAAGTTGGATAAACAGGTGGCAGCAGTGGCCAGGGGTACATTTCAGCAGCTTTGGCTGATGATGCAAGTACAGCCCTTCCTGGGCAGGAAAAATCTTGCCATTTTGGTACATCCCCTGATAACATCTAGATTACATTACCACCCTTGATGGCTGTCCAGAACTTACAGTTGGTACAGTGCTGTGGCCAGAATATTGACTGGTATGGGTCATATGGCCCATATCACTCCAATCTTGTTCCATCTACACTGGCTCACAATTTGCCTCAGGACTCAATTCAAGGTGCTGGTATGAACTTTTAAAGCCCTGTATGGCCTTGAACCAACATATCTGAAGAACCATATTCTCCCATATGAACCTACCCATCCACTCTGGTCATCTTCAGAGGCCCTGCTTTGGGTGCTCCCACTATCTCAGGCTAGACTAGTGGCAACCAGAGAAAAGGTCCATCATCATGGTGCCAAAACTTTGGAAATCCCTCCCCGGGGAGATTTGTCTGTCATACGCTATCACTGTCTTCTGTCTTTTGTTATGTTTGGTGTACCCCCAATAATAGTTATTGTTTTTCATCACTGGTTGTGTTGTGTGTCTGTATGTCTTTACTGAAATGTTTTGATCGCTGCCTTGAGGACCCTATTTGGGTGGAAATGCAACATAGAAATGTTTAAAATAAAGTCTGGGTTTCTGTCAGCCAACAGTATTGAGGTGGGGGGGGGAATGGAGACTGAAAAAGGTAAAAGATGAAAGGGAAGGAACCAGGAAAAGGAGAGAACAGAAGGGAAGAGATTGCCGGGGGGAGGTAAAGCTGATGACTGGGGGCCTAGACAGAGGCAGGTTGGTTGATGCAAGTGAGACAGAAATGGAAAGAGGAGAGGCTACTGGGGCTGCCA